AGGAATGAAGGTTTGAAGGAAGGAAGGAAAAAAAGTTTTAACATGCCTCTGGCAACAATTTATTCATTCTTGTGAATGAATAAATTGTTGCCAGAGGCATGTTAAAACTTTTTTTTATGGTATGAGGCAAACGAGCAGACGGGTCACCTGATGGTAAGCAACTAATGCCGCCCATGGACACCTGCAACTCAAAAGTCACTGGTGCGTTTCTTCTCTTGGAGTCCCTCCCGCTCGAGTCAGCGGGAGGAGGGATTTGAAAGAATTGCTTAACACCAGTTTTCTGTAAGGCCGTGGTATCACACCGGTCGAGCCGGCCCATTCGTGCAGAAGTATGGCTCTCCCACGCTAAAACAAAACTTAAATAAACTAGTAATATATATACACATACAAAATAAGAAATAACCAGTTAAAATTACACTGTAATATTGAAACTATAATTTAATTTTGTTTAAAGTTATGCACTTGCGTAGAATGTATGCAAAAGGAGTAAAAATGCGAGATAAGAGTTAAGAGAGGGACGTGGGATGAGGAATATGAGGAGGAATGAATTTTATTAGAACGAGGATCACAGTAGAAGTCCTTGGTGAAAGATGCTCACAAAATCGAAACCAACCTTCCTTTTTTTTTGTAAAAAATCTTCTCCTTTCTTTGGTAGTTTACAAAATTTTGAATCGTCATGTTACGATTATATGTATATTCTTTCACTGACAGCCGCAGGCTGGCAGCATTCTCCCACCAAGGAGTTGATACTTTGAAATTTAAAGGAAAATTTTGGTCAGTACTTTAGATAATGGCATTAACAAAATAAGAGTAACAATCTATCTGATTGTTAGAAACAAGAAAAAGAAGATCAGATAAATTATTTTCAAGGCAAGAGGTAAATGAAAGCCAATTGGTTTCTACTATTCTCTTTCTATATTAATCTTTGGGTTAAAGATACGCACGGAAGATACCCTGTTAGATATCTACATGAAAATGGGGAAATGATCACTGTAATAAGAGTGGAACAGAACATTCCAGGATATGGCAGAGGCCAAAGAAGCCTAACATATTGTAAGATCAACATCCGATTTAAGGGTTTGAGAAGGTAAGACTCTTCTAGTAGGAGAGCCATCATTAATAATACAAAGATTTGAGTCATCCAGAATTTCTAAGAGGGAGAGACCAAAGGCATAATCATGACTAGAGCCCCACGATGATAAAACATTGATGAAGGCACAAAAGAGATAATGAACAAAATATCAGGGATTAAACTAGAGTGAGGATGAGGGATGTAGGCTGAAAGAAAAGTGATGTTTAGAGCCCTTACGGCTGTATTATTACTGTTTGGGGATATGGGGGGAGAAGGATTTGATTAAACGAAAGGCAACGCTTAATAAGTAAGGCGCTGCCTGCATATCCTTCGTCTCTATCATTCCGAAGACACGAGTACCCCAGGACCCGAAATCGGGATGCAGGCCCCAGCCATGTCTCAGAAATGGCGATAACTGATGGAATAAAAGAATTAATTAAGTTAAGAAGCCCATGTTTCTTAGGACAAAGACATTCCATTGAAGAACTTCTGCCATAATTAGAAGCAAGGGAGAGGATATATGAGAGTTTCGAAGCAACGTTAGGCGGTAAAGAAGATGCTTTATTTGATATTAAATTGACAATCACAGATAGCAAGAGCTCTAATAGACCTTCATCTCGGGTAGGCAAAGCTTCTGTTCGAGAACATTGAAGAAAGTATATTTTTTTAGAAATTTAAAGGATTTTCCTAAAGGAGCCTTAGGGCGCAGGGGAGAAATAACTGTTTTTTTTTTATAGGATATAGTAGGGATTAGCAGAGAACGCTGCTGGAGAGATTGAATCTGATCAAATTTGAAGAGAGCGGAAAAGAAAGAAGACTGTCCAAGGACTCTAGAGTTTAATTTGCCAACTAGAGGAAACTGTCTGGCCACTTCCTCATAATTTAAATTTTCTTGAGCACATTAGGTTTTATACTTTTACTGCCTTCCCTGCTCTGGTCAAGCACAGCTGGTAGCGTAAATGATTACCAAGACAGTGAAGACAGGAAGCTTTAGCCTCGACTACGTTACAAGTCTCCCTAGAGTGAACACACCGGAAGCAACGAGGCTTTGACCGATATTGTTATTTCGTGTGTCCAAATCGACGTATAATTTCCCAAATATCCAGTGTTTCCTTTGCGAAACACTGGATATTTGGGAAATTATACATCTCAACATGAAGGGAGGAGTGATAGCTAAAGATTCTTTGGGGAAGGATTTGTCCGCGGAAGGTTAAAACCACAGACTGAGTAGGGATCCATACTGTCTTACCGTCCTCACTAGTTTTTTTATTCAGTCTTCTCGCTTTTAGGATTACATCCATCAGGAACAACTATGGATTGGACAAAAATCCGTCATCAACCAGTCTGTTGAAATCTGGCGAACTACACCCATTTTAGTGATATTGTAGGTAGGTAGGTATCGAAGCAGTGTATTTGTTAGTGTTCAAAATAGGGTTTTCTAATTGGCATCTTCAGCTGACAGAAATTCAACTGAGATTGAATTTGTATACCCATGACATACCCGTTGGTTACCCATGACAGATAGCATTCTCAGAGGCAAGGCGACGTTTACCATGAGAAACCACCTGAGGAACAGGTCGGCCTAAACCTCCAGGGTCCGGGGATCCAGAAGAATAGGGGGAGAAGGCTCCACAATGAGGGACATACCTAACTTAGTTATTTAAAGTATTTATATATATATTTAAATAAATCAACAAAGTAAAAATAAATAAATATTTAAACTAGACGAAACAAATTACTCACTGAAAATTCTACACATATATAACAATAAGTTTGCACGAAGATTAAAAGAAAAGATTTATAAATACAAAAACAGAAAAATGAGGATAGGAACCGAGTGACAAATCCTCAATCCACAAAACATCAGAGTAATATTGAAACCTCCGTAGTAATATGGTATTGGCAGGTATTGGTTGTGAGCTCCGATTTACGCATTTAGACTCGAGAGTGGTCCTTTATGCGTCTAGAAGAGGTTGGCTAGATAAGCCAACCAAGTTCCTTCCAGACGTGCAGAAGCTTCCTAGGGCGATCACAGGCTTCTAGGAGCGATTTTGTACCAGGTATGGTACTTGCCCGTTGTGTGGCCACTCCCTTGCATTCCAGGATTACGTAGGCGGCCGTTTTTTCTGCTATCAGGCATCCTCTGCAAAGAGGACTGTCGGTCGCATTAATGATGAATAGTTGCATAGTTAGGGCTAGGTGTCCTGTTATGGTCCCTGCAACTATTCGGATAGCTAGTCTGCAAAGATCGATCAGTCTGCAAGTAAGTCGTGGTGAGGCTTGAGTCAGCACCAGTTTGGACTGTCTGCACCCGGGTGAGTTTTTCCACCTTCGATTTTTCACTTCACGAGTACGTTGTCTAGCCCAGGATCGAAGTTGGTTAAAAGACAGTGGCAGGAGTGTGGTTGGGCCGGCGGCCGGGGTTGCTGAGCCCCTCGTTGCCACTCATCGTGCCCTTTAATCCATTGGAGGAGTACCCCATTTGTTGTGGCAAGCTGCTTTGGAGCAGCTTGCCACAACAAATGGGGTACTCCTCCAATGGATTAAAGGGATTTTTCACTTTTTTTGCATCTTTGCTTGATGGCATTCGAAGACAATACCAGAGGTCATTGTGTTGCCCTCCAGTTCCTTTAGGATGGCCATGCTGTCTGACAGTATACGGATGTTGTAGTCCTTAATACCCTTTGACATGGCCGTTGTGGCGGCGTAAGTTTGTCACACATTCGCATTAGAATTTGGAACTGTGTTAGCCAAACGCTAGTGATATGTTTATGTTTAGGTCTTGTGAGAAAACTCCGGCTCCAGTTCCTGACCTAGTCTTGGAACCGTCCGTGTTAATTCGGACTTCGTCTATGCCAGATTAATATCGGTCATTTTCTTGTGTCAGAATGTGATATCTCCTTGTGAAGATATGGTGTTTTGAGATCCTGTCGCATGGGCTGCTAATAGTGGCTCATAGTCCACTAATTGATTCCATAATTTGGAGTGCGATTTCTCGCCTTTGTGCTACAGACCTAGGTGTCTGAATCTAATGATCGCCTTGCCGAACTCCTGCTGTATGAACAAATCCAGTGGGGGCAGACAAAGAGACCATTCTTTCGCTGGATAGTCGTTAACAGCCTGAAGTAACCCTGTCCGCACTGAGTCATTGACGTTGCGGCGCCGCGCTGCAACGCCAACGCATCGTATGGCCTTACTCTTAGCTCGAGACTGCATTGGGCCACTGCGTTAAACGGTGTGGCGCACCGCATCATTCTTGGGTAATTACAAAAATTGGGATTCCTAATTTTATTTCAATTGAATGAAAAAAACAAATTTAATTGAAATTCTCGCCATTAGATGCTGCCAACTGCTGTAGTTGCTCGTAGTGCATTTCGAAATGAGCTCTTAGGTTGTTTTTAAAAAACTGGGGCTTTAAAAATCATAATTCTGATGAGCTTTCCACACCTTTTTCTTAGAAAAGAATTTCAGTTAGGCCTGAATATGAGATTCTAAGCCAAACCATGAATGACAAAGGATAAAGCCCTCGCTGGGCCCTCGAAATATGTGCGCTCACTTCTTCACTGCTGTGGGCTGTGAACATTACACCTTATCACTTTGTTTGTAATAACTTTCTTCAATGGTTTTTTTTACTTGAAAACAAAATGTCGCTGTATTATTGCTCACATACCGCCATAACAAAGCACCTGGTCTTTACAGCCTAATTTCATTATTTAATTCATAGAATAATTTTTCAAGAAATAAATGTTTCATGGTACTTATTCATTATGGGAATGGTTTCACTATAAATGATAATATGTTTAATTTAATTGTTTAATAATCGTCATGCACAAGAAATAAAAAGTAGCAAACACATACCTCTCATAGTTTTATTTTACTTTAACAATATCAATCACATTTTAATAAATAAAACATTTGCTACATTATATCATTTGTTTTCTTGACTAGCAGTTGAACTGCTTTCTTCAGCTTCTAATGTAGAGACAATCAATTCATATGACTTTGCCACAGCATTACTGGTGTGAGTAGGAAGATCTATTAGGAAACGGAATGTTGTTTTCACACCATTGTTCCAATAATGTTTAAATAGGTAAGAAAATCTATCATTCGAAGGCAGTGCAGGCATCTGAAAAAAATAAATGAATTTCATACTATTTCTAAAAGATATGTAATTATAGCTTTTTAAAGAAATAATTTACCTCATAAGGTATTTGTTTTTTAAGTTCGCCGACATATGGCGAAATACCTTGTTCGAGCTCCTCGTACAAAGCAGAAGTAGTGGCGCTATCTTTCCATACGCCCTTTTCAACTGTATAATAAACAGCTGAGCCAAGAACAGCACTTTTAATTCCAAACCTATGAAATAAGATAAGCATTACATTAATCCACTATAATACGAGGAGCTGTTAAACGACCCATTAATACAAATAAAAACTTTGCAATAAACTCACTTCAACATTTTGTCCGATATTTATCATTAAATTTTACGCCTAAAGTATGTTTATACAGAAAAATTATGTAATTTCATATAACAACCCCAATTTTTAATTCTTGACTTGATACTTGACATTGACATACTTGTAATGTGTTGCCACTTTGCCAGTAGACAGAAGACATGGACAAAATTACATTAACCATAGTGAACTGTGATTTATCTTTCGTTTTTTTTCTATGTAGGTTAGGGTTGCTACTTACTCAGGCGTTGTTGCCGTTAATCTGTTTTCAAACGATGCTTAAAGACCCTTGTTTTATTAAAACAACTACAAAATACCAACCTGGACAGAATTGCACTAGACACGACTCAAGCTCACGAGTCACGACTATAGATGTAAAACAATCGATTTTAAACGTTTTAAATAAAATGTTGCAGTTTTAAACCCCAATTAGATCCTTTTAAACGGTTGAAAACTCGCCTAGAAAAATAAAAAGAACTGTGTTTTATACTTAATTGTGGGCAATTTTTGGTCACCTGACGTCATGTTCATTTTATTAGTTTATAGAAAATCAATAGAAAGTACCTGTCTACATCACCTACTACACGAAAACTTAAGTATGTAGGTATATCTACTTATACTTATTTATTATATTACACACACATTAGATTATAAGACATAATTAACACAATGCTGGCCGTTTTACATGCGCATGAAAGAGACAACTTTATTTCTTCAAGCTTCTTCAAGGCCGTCGCGAGTGACGCGTCAACAAGAGTGCGAGAGTGTAAGTTTTGTTTTAAACCGAATGAAATTGATTATTTATATCGTTTGAAAACAATGAAAAAAAAATGATTATTTATGACAGAGTTATCAATAGAGTTTTTATAATTTAGACAGGTAATGCCTACGCTTGGTCGGACGGACCAATAAGTATATATATTTGTATTATTATTTGTATATTATCAATACATATTATGGATACATTTAAGTATATACATTTGCGTGTATTTATAAATCACATGTATTTATATACTTGTATGTATCTAATAACACCACTAGCCTTATTTAGCATATAGTATATGGCATATTCCTTCTAGTACCTATGTCATATATTCACCTAAGTCGTATCAGAGTCCTAGACCTAGTCCTACCAGTTACTATTTTGTAATTATCACTTTTTTAAATATTTATATAGATGCTACATTGATTTCCTCTTCTAATCTACTCGTATTTTCTTAGTACACCAGCCACTACCCTACACCCCGGTTGCCTATAAGAGATTGCCTCTGAGCGAAAAGGCCGCCATTTGTACCTGTCTAACCTAGCTTAAGTTAATCTTTATATATTTATACCTGGTGTACAATAAAGAGATTTATTATTATTAGAATATTATTATAATTCTCTTTATTTACTTTATATACATATTATTTATATTTTTAAACATACACTTTATAAAACATTTAAAAAAAAACATTTAACAATATAAAAAATAGTAGACCACCGCCATCGGGTACAGGGACCAAGACACCGGTGGTTAGGACTCCAAAGATAGGAACCTCCTCACTATACGAGCCGTGTCAAGGAGGACATAAGACCCTTGATCCAGCCGTCCAACGTGAGTCTGTTGGTCGAGTCTCTTGGCTATCAATCCGTGAGCAGATATGACTATCGGAACAATGATCACTGAATCAACATTCCACATATCGACAATCTCGTGAGATAAATCCAAATATTTGATTTGTTTTTCTTTTTCAACTTTCACGAGATTCTCGTCATGAGGAACGACGATATCAACAATCATTGCGCGGCGCTTTAATCGATCTATCACCACAATATCTGGCTTATTGGCAACAATAGTCTGTGATAATAGATCGATCCCAATACAACGTGGCCCGACCATTCTTGAGAACTGAGTCGGGCACATACCTGTAGTATGGCACCTATAGATTCACAAGATGGTATTTAAGGGCAAGCTGTTGGTGTACGATCCTGGCTACTTGGTTGTGCCTATGCAAATATTCACCATTAGCAAGACGAGAACAACCAGAAATAATATGCCTGATTGATTCTCCACGACGGTGGCATGCCCGACAGATGTCAACCGTACCATCTTTCAGAATATATTTCCGATAGTTATTCGTCATGATAACTTCGTCCATAATAGCACAAAAAAAAACCTTCAGTTTCTCCGAAGAGATCACCATACCGTAGCCAAGTCGTAGATGCTTTCAAATCTATATCGGAACCGTTTAGGACCCGATAAAACCGACCATGGAGCTCTTTGCCCTTCCATACTTCCTTGCGATCATTAGCACTAAGTACTACAGGTTTGCACCAATTTTCTTTAGCCAGAGCGGGGTAATTTCCGTATCCACTACAACCACATTTCGATGCACTCCTACATTAGTATGTAGAAATTATTATCTGAGATTGCATATCTCGCGATTATGTAGGGTCTTGATATTTAATAGTCCGCGATCCCCAAGCTTTCGCGGGATATACAATCTCATAACCGATTAACGTGGATGGTGCATTCGGGATGCAGTCAGCAGTGTACGGACTTTCCTGTCAAGGGCATCTAATTCGGTCTGAGTCCATCTAAGTATACCAAAGGAATACACCAGAACCGGCATGACCTAACTATTGCAGGCTCGCACCTTGTTGCCCCCTGATAAAACTTTTAAGTACTTTTTTCAAGCGGCAGAAAAAGCGTTCCTGCAACGTTTGTTTCATTTAGAATCTGGTATTCCCAACGACTGTGATATACCCAGATACTACAAGTTCAGTGACAGACAGAGATCTGAGTTTTGTTGAATCTGAAAGCTCTATTCCTTCAGATTCAACTATCACACCCTTCTTTACATACATGACTGCACACTTGTCTACACCAAATTCCATTTTGATAGAATTACTAAAGTTTTCCGTCACCTTTAGTAACTTCGTCAATTGTAATTTGTTTGGGGCTAACAGTTTCAAATTATCTATATAAAGAAGGTGAGATATAACTTAATCATCTTTTTGCAACCTAAAGCCTAACTCTGAACCCTCTAATAAAGTGCTAAGAGGTTTCAAAGCCAGACAAAACCACAAGGACGCCAAAATGTATTTGTGACATTTTCATCTGGCAAATGCCTATCACCCACACATGGATCCGATTCCTCTCATTTTCGGTACACCCACTTCTCATTTCTTTGGAACATCCGATTCTGATTATACCGATCTATTCGTTTTTTTTTACCGTCTTATCCTATTTGCCCATGCATAAATTTCTGCTTTAGAAAGTCGCGCTCTGTGACACATGACATGTACTGCTGAGGGCCAATGGTAGTCCCCAAGAATGCCTGTTTCACAAAGCGCATCACTCTCGGCCGCGTATTCCCTGATCGGTAGCTAATAAGCTTACCGATGAGTGTCCTGGTCTCAGCAATACGACGTTCAATTCTATACTGCCAAGCTGGTACAGTAGATTTAGGTCGTGTAGTAGTGACATTGTCAGCTATTTTAACACCAGCTACTCGACAAACAGCAATAGCCGCACAGTATAGAAAAGAATGTGTATCACTAAGATCTTCGCTATTATCTGAATAATCAGGCAATAACGAATCCAGGGCACCCACCAGCGCTAAATTTCGATTATGAATGGACAAACGGAATAACCGGGGCCTATCATTGCAATTTAAATATCGGTATTCCTGAATCGCATCCTCCAAAGCGCTCCTTATCCTATCATTATTTATTTATTTATTACAACTATGGAGGATTAACAGCTATGATGATCACAATAAAAGCAGTCAAGAAAACAGATAGCCAATAACAAATCCTCACTTATATAAATAAGAGATAAGTTACAGTGCTTAAGACAATACAGAATATGATCAAGAGGTATTATATAAGTTACAGGCACAGATCACTTACAAATTACACAGAACGTAATAATATACACACAAAACAGACAGGACCCATAACAATAACTACTCAGACCCCTCACCATCACCCCTGAAGAATTTAAGGCTTAAACACCTCCTCGCTCCCGTTATACTAACGTTAAAAATATCAATTCCAAATTGTTCACACACATTATTGAGGCTTCTAGTTGAACGAATAACAAAATTTTTTTTTCTATAGTTCGTCAGTGCAAATGGTACACTCAGCGGTGGGTTATAGCGAGTTCTTGACGGAATATTAATATTAAACTTAAATAAAAGTTCGCAGCAGTCAATTTCGTTACTACATTTTTTTAATAATAGGGTACAATCAGCGATTTCACGAAGCGTTGTAAGGGGTAGTAATGGTACTTCTTGCAAAGGTCAAAGTAAATTTCCGAGTGATAAGGTACTTTCTGGTGAAAGCACAAATATTTTATGAACCTTCTCTGGATATTCTCAATCCGGTCTGCATATTTTTGGTAGCAAGGATTCCAAACTTCACATGCATACTCTAAATGGCTTCTAACAAAGGTGCAATACAGAATTTTTAAAGTTCTTGCCTGTTTGAAGCCCCTAGACAGTCGCATTATGATTCCTAATGCTTTAGAAGCTATGGCAACGATTGCATCTATGTGTTCTTCATAGATCAGCTTCAAGTCATGCGTGACACCCAGATGCCGGACGGAAGCACATCTAGGCAGCGAATCACCGTTTGACATATAAGCTGTAGTTATAGCGGATCGCTTTTGCGAATATGTCACCACCGAGCATTTTGTAGCATTCAGATCTAGCTTGTTGTTTCGACAGTACTCCTCCAAACGAGTCAAATCAGCTTCAAGCGCGGTCATATCCTCAAGTGATGAGATCGCTGCGAAAATTTTCATATCGTCAGCAAAACATAGGAGTCTCGATGATCTAAAGCATAATTCTATGTCGTTCACGTATATCGTAAATAGAAGGGGTCCAAGCAAAGACCCCTGAGGACAGCCGCTGGAGATAGGCACCCAGCCAGAGATATAGTTATTGAGAACTACAGCTTGAGTTCTATTCTCTAAATACGAGGAAAACCACCGCAGCAAGTCACCATGGATACCCAT